GTCCACCAGCTACTAATAAACAAACTAATGACCTTTGGATAAAGTTAATTTCTGGGAAGAAGACCATTCTACTACCTGTCAGAACAGGCGAATGAAGTAATTCAAAGGCATATGTCCAAGGTCCCTTGAAACCATCAGTTTTTCCACCCCCATTGTTCTACCCAGACACTGAGGGCCAGCACCGAGGGCCTTCTGGTGGTTCCCTCACGGCGAGAAGCCAAGTTACAGGGAACCAGGCAGAGGGCCTTCTCGGTAGTGGCACCCGCCCTGTGGAACACCCTCCCACCAGATATCAAAGAGAAAAACAACTACCACCTTTAAGAAGACATCTGAAGGCAGCCCTGTTTAGGGAAGCTTTTAATGTTTGATGGATTACTGTATTTTAATATTCTGTTGGAAGCCGCCCAGAGTGGCTGGGGAAGCCCAGGCAGATGGGCGGGGAATAAATAAATTATTATTATTATTATTATTATTATTATTATTATTATTATTACCTGCTCATGTCATTTCAATTCACCCTGATCAAATTATGTTTGCAATTAAGGTTGCCAGAACATCCTATAGAGTTGTCCCGCAACAACCTATTCACAGGATATTTATCAGTAAAATGGAGGTTCAAATCAAGGCTTTTTACTGAATAAAAGTGCTAGTCTTATTAACAAGGAGCAAGAGAATCTGAGTTTGCATAAACAATTTAGCACTAATAAAAACCCTAGTTGATTTCAGTGAAAAAGACCCAGTTCTTGTTAGGGGATGGCCTGGGCAAAGCACAGGGACCAAGAAACCCCAGCCACTGCCACTTTAATTTGCCTTAAGGTACCTGCAGGTATAAATTGAGTGCATATGCCATTGCACTGTTGTAGAACAATGCGCCTTTAGCATTGTCCTGTAAAGTCCATAAACCTTTTTCATGTGTCCCCAACGCCCCCCTTTTAGCGCTTCTTCCCCTTCTTGTCACACACATGGCCCGAGAACAGTTAATTCCCACTCCGTGCTTCTGACGGCTTCATACTCTTCGAAACAATGCAAAATTAGGCAAAGAGGACATGAGTTCAGTTTCGTAACACTTGTTGAAAAGTCTGGAATTCATTTGTCCGCAAAGTCGTGCTTAGCACCACCCACGCTCTGGCACACGTTTCTGTTGTAGGCTAATCTTTTTTAGATCGGTTTCTCGCTGATTTGTCATGAATGCAGCAGCATCTGACAGAGTCTATTGGGGGAGAGAAGAGAAGCGGAGGAGGATGCCTGTGGCACGCATCACGGGGGGGGTGAAATGCATGAATTAGCCTTCTGTCTTGTAATCAGATTCCAGTAATCAGAACCACCTGCAAGGGAAACCCTTTCAAGCACCTATTTTGTAGAACCAGAAGGTACCACAATTTATTTCAGGAGAACTTAAGAAAAAATGGATGTATCGTGCCATATTAGAAGCAAAAAAACTTATTTTGATGAATTGGAAGAGCCGCAAAAAGATTCCATTGAGCACATGGATTGATAATATGGACAGACTAGCTACATACGAACGAACTGCATGTCGGCGCAAATTAAGAATGGATAAATATGAAGAAATCTGGAAGGAATATTTAAGTGATAAGGCAGACACTGGGGGGGAAGTAGGGGGAGAAGAGGTGGGGAAATATTGTTAAAAAGGTGTAGGTATATCAGTATTCAAATCTGAATTGTCTATTTGTGTTATCAGTGTTGTAATGGTTTTTGTTGTATGTGTCTTTTGCGGTTGTTGTTTGTATTGAAAAAATGATTAAATAAAGTAGAAAAAAGAAAAAAGAGCAGCCTAGCTGGGCCAGGCGAAAGGCATATCTAGTCCAGAATCCTGTTTTCACCATGGCCACCCAGATCCCTATGAGAAGCCCACCAGCAGAACATTAACACAACAGCTCTTGCCATTCCCAGTAACTGGTATTCAGAGGCATACTGCCTCTGGCAGTGCTCAGAAGTTGGGAAGGCAACTGAAAAATGATCCTTGAGAGGCAGGTAGGGAAAGAAGGAAAGGAGGAGAGAGTAGACTGCCCATGAGTGCAGCTCCGGGGAAAGCATGACGAGTACCATTTACAGACCCTGCAAGTATCCTTATTTTCCAAGCACAGTCCCAGATTTACAGAAGCTGTTTTGGTTTCTGCTTTGATCCTGGAATTTTCTGTTTTTCCTTAGGACATCCCTATTTCCATTTTTATCCCTAATTTGTTTTGAGCCCCATCAGAGAAAAAGGCAGGTGTCAATCAATCAATCATTCTGGAAAAATGTGTTGTATTGAAAAAATAATTTTAATTTATATAGTTTGAAAAGCAAAACACAAGACAAATGTGACTATTGGTTTAAAACCACTTTTTTTACAAACTAGCTTACATATTGACTGATGCAGAAAAGTATATCAAAATGATTCAAAAACATGCAAATATTTTTAAAGGGAGTTGCATTTCAATGTAGACCACCAAAGTTCATGCTATATATTGTTGTCCGTGAAGCAAAAACAAAACCCTAAAGGCAAGCTTAACAGGTTTGTTCTGAATTGCCTGAGAACTATTTCAGTTTGGATGCTGATTTTACAAATGTAAAAGCCAAGTTGGTGACGTGTAAGATCTACAATATAGTTGTTTATCTGTCTTATTGTGTCAGCAACTTGGCTTTTGTGCCAAACATCTTGCAGTATTGCAGTTGAGTAGGCGATAGACCCAGAAAGTGAGGCGTGTATATGCCTATAACTCAAGAGTGTGTGTTTCGGCAATTCAGACACTAGGATTTATGCACCTGAGATAAAGGTCTTATGTAAAACAGACTGTAATTTCAGCTGCCACAAGTTGTCATAATGCATTGATATATAGGCTTTGTGGAAGGATGAATGCCGCACTGTGCAGATAAAATATTGCTCCAATGCCTCATACTTGGAACAGCCTGCAAAATCTGCAATATGGGAAGTCTGCCACCTACCTTGGTTAACGTAAGAAGAGCTGGCTGGAACAGGGTGGCATCCTGATCTCACAGTGGACACCCAGATGCCTGTGGGAAACTCGTAAGCAGAACCTGAGCACAAGAGCCCTCTCGCCTCCTGGGTTTTCCCAGCAGCTGCCATTCAGAAGCATTAATGCCTCGGACTCTGGAGGCAGAGAATACCCTACCCCATGACTTGGTCCCATCCTCTTTTAAAGCCATTCGAATTGCTGGCCATCCCTGGCTCCAGTGGGAGAGAGTTCTATAGCTGAACTACATCTTGCGTGAAGAAGCCCTTTCTTTTATCTGTCCCGAATATTCCAACATTCAGCTCCATTGAATGTCCTTGAGTTCTAGGGTTATAAGACAGGGAGAAAAACCTTTCTCTATGAACTTCCTCCATTTTCTTCATAGAGGAGTCGTTGATCATTTTGGTAGCCCTTTTTCTGAGCCTTTGCCAGCTCTGCAGTATCCTTTTTGAGGCAAGGTGACTAGTGCACAGTTTTACTTTCAATTCCTTTCCTGGTGATCCCTAGCATGGAATTTGCCTTTTAGAGCTGTCACACATGAGGCTGACCTCTTCATCAACTGTGCACAACATCCCCAAATCACCACCTGTTCAGAGCCCAGGAGCCTATATGTGAAATTAGGTGGGTGGTTTGTTTCTTTGTTTGTTTGCAAAGACATGTATCACTTTGCACTTGCTTACATTGAATTGCATTTGTCATTTTACTGCCCCTTCACTCCATTGGAGAGGTCTTTTTCGGAGCTCTTCGCCATCTCTTTTTAATGACCCTTACTGGTGGAAATACTCCAAAAACAACCCTAGAAAAGTGAGCATGCTCAGTAGTGAAATAATACTCGTATAGCTGGAAATGAAAAATGTTATTTTGTGTGTGTGTGTGTCCCTTCTTGAGTTCCTTACATCTTGTACTATTTGGAGGCGAGCAGGGTTGACTGAATAGGAGCACACCTGCTAGATGAAGAGGCTACACAGCAACATTTGATTGCAGATCCTACTAGTTCTTCCTAATGTGGAATTTAGCTTTCTTTGTAGTTAAAAAATATATTGCTTGTGGTGCTTCAGGTATCACACACAGAGATTTTGTCTCTTCCTTACATTTTAAATATCTGAAAACTGTTGACAAACCCTACTGTAAACTCTCAAGATCAGCAATCCTTGCACTAATCAGCCACCAGTGGGTTCAACAGGTTGATAGTTCCTCATGGACTTGCAGGTGATCTCTTAAGCCATGGTGCAAGTAAAGTTCTGAGTAAAGTTCTTTTGAGCTCTCAGACACTAGAGTGTGATGGCCTGGGACTCGGGCTCGGAACCAGAGAAGTCTCAGGCAGCACCGGATCCTTTGCCTCAGGCATCATCTGAACCAAGTCTGGGGCCTGATCCTGAAGAGTCCCAGTCTGCACAGGTTCCCCTGCAACAAACACCAGCTGGGCCGAGTCAGGGGCCTGAGCCTGCCCTGGCTCCAGATGCTGCGATTACCTCGTTGCCTCCAGCTGGTCCATCACTTACAGCTGCTCTACTACCGGAAGAGTCAGGGGAGGCTGAGGTGGCCCCTGGGTCTAGTAACCCACGACGTCTCCCGAACTGCAGAGACTGAGGTCTGAGAGAAGGAGAGACCTGAGTACTCGCAGGAGGAGTGCTTGCCTCCGGGCGAAACAGGGAGGTGAGTCGCTGGGGGATCAGGACCGGCTGCTACCACGACAAAGATAAAAGGCTGTCAGACCCTGCACCAGGTTGCGGAAGCAACATTGCTGTATGCTAGATCCTGCCTGAGATCCTGTACCTGTCCTTGCCTCGTTCCCTGCCTCGTGTCCTGCCTTGGCCCTGTCGGACTGACTCCTAGCGGAACCTTCGGATTCTGGGCCGGTCCTGGACCGTGTTTCACGGGTTACCCCCAGGCCCAGCACATAGAGCTTGGATTTTTTTCCCTTCTGAGCTGGTGGCAAAATATGATGAGCAACTCACAAAGAATGTAGGTGTCTTTCTAAAACGATACTGGACGACATGTTCGATACAAGCAGAGGCATCATATCTGGAAATTCTTTTTTATTACAAAAAAGCGTGTGTTTAGGTATCAACAAGAGAAATTCCAAACACTGGGGAAAAAATAGCAATTCTGTACAATAAATCAGCATCTGCTGACAGTTCTCCAAAGTGTACAAGGATCTTTGTTATATAAAAAATGTTTATTTAAAATATAAAAAACACTAAAATTCATGTAAAAAAAAACCCCCAACGCCACCACAAGGAAGCTGTGCGTATATTATTCAGGAATGGGTGAAAACATGAATAATGCTCATATGCTATTGCAGATCATGATGCTGAAGTGTGTCTCTGAGCCGCTCCAAGCTGAATACAAAAGCACCACATCACCTGCACTGGATCAGAGCAATGGTCCATGTAGAGCAGCAACTTGTTCCCAACACTTCCTCACCTATCGTTGCTCCCGGCAGCTGGAATTGAGAAGCAATTGTTCCTCTGAACCCGGGAGGCTACATACAACCATACCGATGACAATGTCCAATCCCATTTCAGAGCCATCCAAGCTACAGCCCATCACATTATCTTGCAGCAGCAAATTTTTGTGAGTTCATTCATTCATGCACTGCGTGAAAAAAGCGAAACACCCACCAGCCACTTCTTTCAGCAGCCAAGGTGCTTCACACATTACCCACATTATGCAAACATCCCCCCCCCAAGCATTCTAGGCAGCCACTGGTAGGTTCCAGTACATTACTGGGGTGCTGTGTGTGGCTTGGTAAGTCATGCCTTATGCAGGCCTGACTGTGCTGAATTAGTCTCTTCAACCCATAAGTACAAGCCCTGAAGTGGACAAGTGCATTTTTAAAAACTAGAGCAGTTCCGTAGGCCTGTGCACACCCCACCAGTCCTGTCAAGTTGTTATCCAGAGCATCAGAGCACTGGATTCCCTGTAATGGTCTGTTCATGAGCATGAAGAACTATGTAGAGCTTATGGGGATTTTCCAGGCAGAGCTAGCCTGAATCAGCCCACATTTTCTGCAGTGTGAACCATCAGCAGAGGTATGGTACTTTGTTTTTTTCCAAATACAGCACTTGTGTGTTTTTATCAAAATCATATAATGGCAAAAGTTTCACGGCTACTGCAGCAAGGCTCTGAGTTTCAACAGATATATAAAGGGAAATGGATTTAGTGCAGTTTTTCTCCCCTTTTAAAAAAAAGTATTTTAAAAAATATAAACACCAGGACCCTCTTGGAGTGATTCTTTCTCCTTATCACAACATTCCTTTGTAAAAGGAGGTAGGCTGAACGAGACCTGCAGTAGACAGAAACCCTCACTTTAAAAAACCTACACAATTCCTGCAGGATGTGAGAAACAGCAAAATTTTCCTCCCCCTACACCTCAGCACTGAACTCACTGTATCATTTCATCCACACTTGGCCAGTTGATCTTAAAAACATCTAACAGGAAGGATGTACTGAGCCACGACTAGCAGATTTCACATGGGCAGGTGAACAGAAATGGATTTTCGTCAGGGCTGCATGAAAAGATCCATTGTCTTGCACCAGTCGTTTTGCTGTTTTCTCAGTTTGCACCTTTTAAAATAAAGGCTGGTCCTTGTTGGTTTTCATTGCAGTATTCAAAATATTACTTAGGTGCATGGTTTGACAGATCTGCCCCCAAAGCAAGGTCAAAGCTAACTTCAGATGCTCCTTGATCTCTCTTCCATCAACAGCACATAGGTCAAAACATGCTTGGCCCCTGGTTGCTGAAGGAGATTGGGTGCCAAGCATTCAAGGGGGTTGTCTTCAGAAAAGGCAGCACTCAAGCAACTGTCTTCCTTCAAAAAGTATCTGAGGGAGAGGGGAAGAGAGGAAAGAACATTTACACATTCTCTGGTCAAAGTAATCAATTATCTTAGTAGTCCACCGAGGGTATTTAGAGGTAGATCTTGCACAAGCCATATTAGAAAATTTATCATGGCTCAGATCCATGTGGTTAACATGGTTTGTGCACACTTTTGAAATGTAGGCTGGATGGTAGCTGTCTCCTGGCTTCCTTCTGTTCTTCCCCTGATTGCTCTGCAAAAATGAGGGCTAGAAATTTGCTCTGAAAATATATAGAAGCTAGAATCAGCCAGGAGCCCTTGCTGCTTTGAGTACTGTCAGTGTTTCCCCTTCCTGGCTCTAGGATGATAGTTATATGAAAAGCCAGTTCTGCTCATTTCATAGTTTCACTGTTTAACCTTGCAGCAAATTATGGCATGGTGGTGTTTTCAATGTTCAGGAACAGATGGAGCGGACAAGAAAAAAGCTCTTATTGGGCCAATGTCTCCTGAAAAGCAGAAACACATTTCTGAATCTACCGTAACTCTTCAGGAAGCTCTGTAAAACTCAGGCACTGTCTAACTTTCAGAAACATGAATTACGTAGGGTTGCCATACACCCGGAATTTCCCAGGCATAGCCGGAATAATGCAGTCACAAGCAGTGTCCGGGCAGAAATTGGCAAAATGTCCAGTAAAATTGGGATGTATGGCAAAACTTTAAAAAGCTCAACACCCCTCCCCCCAAATGTGCTCAACAACTTGTCCAGATTTTCACTTTCAATATGGCAACCCTATATGAAGTGGGCCAAGAAGAGAGTCCATTAAGACGCCATTTTCTGGGACCAGCCTGGCCACAGAGCTCCAGCTTCATTTACCTTTATCGCCTTCTGAATGCAATGGGAACTTCTCGATGGGGGATGAGGATTCCCAAGTGCAGCGTTTCCACCGGCTTGTCATCGGTCGCTACAATCTGATACTTCCGTATAAGCTGCAACACAAAGACAGAAGGAATCAAACCCGGGCTGCTCAAACTCACCCTAGTGAGCACCTGTGGAAACGAACTCATCCCAACTTGTAAAAAAGGGTTAGTCTGAGCCAGGGACAATCCTCGGAACCTGCCAGCTCACCCTCAAAAATGAGCTTCAAAGTCAAGGCACAGCCTTGCTACTCACAATGACAAGGCTATGATCCATCCCAAGTTTAGCATGGGTGGCTAACCCCTCGCTGTGATGACTGACAGGTGAGCAGCCCCTCCCACCTGTTCACATGGCCCAGGGGAGTGGGGGCACCTAACAGTTCTACCCACTTCTTTTATATGGGTGTATTCAATGCTAGGGCCGCAGGTGGCGCTGTGGTCTAAACCACAGAGCCTAGGGCTTGCCGATCAGAAGGTCAGTGGTTCAAATCCCTGCGACAGGGTGAGCTCCCGTTGCTCGGTCCCAGCTCCTGCCCACCTAGCAGTTTGAAAGCACGTCAAAGTGCAAGTAGATAAATAAGTACCACTCTGGCAGGAAGGTAAACGGCGTTTCCAGTCACTGCTCTGGTTCGCCAGAAGCGGCTTAGTCATGCTGGCCACATGACCTGGAAGCTGTATGCCGGCTCCCTCGGCTTATAGAGTGAGATGTGCGCCACAACCCCAGAGTCGTCCGCAACTGGACCTAAGGGTCAGGGGTACCTTTACCTTTATTCAACGCTAATTGCATACGACTTACTCAGGTCCGATAATTTCAATGGGTTTATTCCATGTGAAACTTAGCAGGATACAACCAATAGGATTTGATGTATGGAACACACCTTAGGGTCTTGTGCTGAAGGTTGGGGCATAAGTAAATTTTTACCTACTCAGCCCTACACACACACAATGTGACTGCTATTTGAAGGAGGGTGGGAAGATGTAATTGCAAACATCTTACCCAACAGAGAGCTAATTGAAGCTGTAGCTCTGCCAGGCGGCGTCCGATGCACATCCTTTTTCCAATCCCGAACGGAACATGAGCAAAAGGATTTATGTTCTTCTGGAGCCAACGCTCTGGCTTAAACTGAGTCCAGTCGTTGAAGTATTCTTCGTTGCATCCCAGAGAATGGCTGTTGATCATCAACACCGTCTGTAAACATAGAAAACAGCATGGGGCAAGTGAGAGAGGGGAGTGAAGGTCAGCCGGGTGCAGTTTTTCTAAAGACGGAACATCAAGCCTTGTGTTGCTAATGGAAAAAAGAGCTGCAGGAAAAAGGAAAAGCTGTTTTCTCTGACAGGACCATGATGTCGCATCAAAGGCTGTTGCGCTTCTAAGGCAAGCAAGAAAAGCATGGAGCAACAGCCAGGAGATGTTAAAAAAAATTCTAAGAAGCCCCAAACAAATTTCAAGTTGGGATTTATTTCCAGGCAGGGGTTTCGAAACGGAAGAAAGCAGATGAAGCCTTAATCTTTCCAGTGAAATAGCCTTCAGAGCCAATTCAGAGTAGAAAATAGATAATATTCTCTTGCCTGTGAGTGTTTTAAAGGCTAAGCATGTTTTTAAAAAACCAAGCAAACAAGGTGCAATGTGAGTAAAGCTAAGTTTGATCCAGATTTCATCAGGCTTCTGTCTGCACCCAAATTTTCAAGCCCATACCTTTAATAGTGGAACACTCAGAAATTCAACAGGTGCTGTTTCTGCTGCAGATTTTCATATGGGGGGGGGAGCTGCACTGAAGGCTCATCCAGACTTGAGCTTGCCCTGTGCTTAGAAAGCATGGATCCAAGCAGTTGCCCCATAGCTTTCCCCCAGAAAACCTGCTCTTTAAGTGATAAGTTGAGCAAACGTCAATCCAGAGAAAACTCGATTGCCATTGGCTCTGATTCAGTGGAAAAGATTGGGTTTCTTTGGGGGAAAGCGGTGGGGCAGGTCTGGATGAGCATTTTTGCCTGTCAGTATTAAAGGCATAAGAGCTATGTCAGAAGAAAATGTGCGAAGCCTGGAGAGGGTGTGTTTTCCAGGCAAGCTTGATCTCAGGAACTTCTGTCATTATTAAGTCAAACTGACCTGCGCTGCAAAGCAACATGTCAAGCCAGCTAGACACACTCTGTTTCCCCTTATACATCTCATGTTGTCGCAATAATTGATTACACCTTACAGTGCTCAAATTCCATTGGAGTGACTTAACTGTAGACTCCGAAAAGTAGCTCCTTCAAGAGTACGATGTGTTAGAAAAGTGTCTTTGCAGCTGCAATTCTACACTCACACCATGTATAAAGCACAGTACATGACAGCTTAGACAGGGGAAGTCCTTTGCTGAATTGATCCATTTTCCCCACACTCACATAGAAGAAACCATCGCCAATGTAGCAAGGTGCCCAGTGCTTTTACGATTAGTAATAAAAATAATAAACTTTTATTATAGGGTTGTGAATGCATCTGAAGTTAATTTTGCTGCTGGAAAATGTGACTCACCCCTTTAGGAAGAGCGTAGTCTCCAAGGACCATTTCTTGGTCCAGGGTCCGAGTGGTAAACGGCACAGAGGGAGTTAACCTACAGCAAAAAAACAAAGCACATTTTTTACTACGACTGAAAGACAGATCTACCAGGAGCCGGATGATGACACCATGGGAAGTTTTTAATGTGTGACGTTTTAGTGTATTTTTGGTCTCTGTGGAAGCCGCCCAGAGTGGCTGGGGAAACCCAGCCAGATGGGCGGGGTACAAATAATAAATTATTATTATTATTATTATAAGAATCCTGAGAACTCTAGTTTGTTAAGGGTGCTCCTAACAACTTTCAGCGCCCTTCACAAACTACAGTTCCCAAGATTCTTTAGGGGAAGTCATAACTGTTCAAAATGCTTAACTTTTTAAATACTTTTTTATTGGTTTTACACAATTTTATACATTTAAAGGTTAACCATTTCAAACATTGAAATAAAAGGGTCTTTTGAACCTTCGGACCTCTTTCCCTCCCTCCATGGATTCCATATTTAAGATTAAATTTTTGCATCTTATACCATTATCCATCTGTTATATATCCATGGTTACTATAGTTAATTCCACATTTCAAGTGTCATTACATCCCTGCCAATGGTTTTAACTGTTTACAGTGGTATTTTAAATAAATTAAAAATCTACTCCTGTCTTTAAAAAATACTTGATCTTCCTGGTTTCTGATCATCCCTGTCAGTTTCGCCTGTTCGAAATGCTTTAAATGGGTGTAGCCAAAGAAAAGAGAGACCATTTATTTTCATACTAGGGCGGGAAATTTACCTCATAGATTCTTTCAGGCACGCCTTTAAATAGGGCATCTTCTTCAGATGTTCAGCATTTGGGTTCTCTTCAGCCGAGACCACAGCCTGTATTTCCTCAAGTAACTTTGCCTGGACGTGAGGGTTGCAGGAGATGTTGTAGAGAGCCCAGAGCAGACTGTTGGCTGTCTGCAAAACGGTAAGAGAGACTGACTGAGCTCACTTAGGACTTCTATGTTAACATGAGTAAGGAGATGCTACAACAACAACAACAACAACATGAAACCTTTCACAATGGGAGAATATTTATATGTATTATCTGCAGCTGGCTTCTTTAAGTTTCAAAACTGAGCTCTGCCCTAGCCTAGGAGATCTGCGGGCATAGGGCAGTATATAAATATTATTATTATTGTTATTATTCAGACCACCTGGAATCTTACTATGGTGGAACCTTGGTTCTTGAACTTAATCTGTTCTGGAAGTCCATTAGACTCCTGAAATGGTTCAAAAACCAAGGCACAGCTTCCAATTGGCTACAGGAGCTTTCTGCACTCAATCGGAAGCCGCGTTGGATGTTCGGCTTCCGAAAAATGTCTGCAAACTGGAACACTTCTTGGTTTGCGGCGTTCGGGAGCCAATTTGTTCAGCAACTAAGCTGTTTGAGAACCAAGGTACCACTGTAGTACAAAAGGCATTTAGAAACATCAGGAGAGGAATGAGGTATCAGTGACACACTACAGTGGTACCTCGGATTACAGACACTTCAGGTTACAGATGCTGCTAACCCAGAAATAGTACCTCGGATTAAGAACTTTGCTTCAGGATGAGAACAGAAATCGTGCTCCGGCAGTGTGGCGGCAGCGGGAGGCCCCATTAGCTAAAGTGGTGCTTCAGGTTAAGAACAGTTTCAGGTTAAGAACGGACCTCCATAACGAATTAAGTTCTTAACCCGAGGTATCACAGTATTGGTGCTGGAGGAGACTCTTGAGAGTCCCATGGACTGCAAGAAGATAAAACCTATCATTCTGAAGGAAATCAGCCCTGAGTGCTCACTGGAAGGACAGATCCTGAAGCTGAGACTCCAATACTTTGGCCACCTCATGAGAAGAAAAACTCCCTGGAAAAGACCCTGATGCTGGGAAAGATGGAGGGCACAAGGAGAAGGGGACAACAGAGGACGAGATGGTTGGATAGTGTTCTCGAAGCTACCAGCATGAGTTTGACCAAACTGCGGGAGGCAGTGAAAGACAGGAGTGTCTGGCGTGCTCTGGTCCGTGGGGTCACGAAGAGTTGGACACGACTAAACAACAACAACCACTGTATATTTTACCTAACCAACTCTCGTCTCCCATGACCATTGGCAATGCCAGCTGAGGCTGATGGAAGCTGCAGTACCAGAAACTGAAGGGCCACAGGTTCTCCATCCCTGCATTAGGCCTTCTGTATTTAGATTTTTGAAAATCAAAAACAACTTGGCACAATCCAGGGGAGACTTAGCAGATGTTAAGGCATTGTTCAGGGGAGGAGCAGGATTGCAACCTATTAAATGGCAATGATGGTGATAATAATCAGTAAGAACAAGAAGGGAGGAAATCAAATGAGGAAAATGGGTCACAGGAAAGAGGAGGCTATCAGCTTTTTAGCTGGGTGACTGTTAAGAGGATCCTTGCCATAAATGCAGAGAAGCAAGCTAGGATTTACCGTTTCAACTCCAGCAATCTGGAGTTCCGTGATGGCAGCATATAGCTCTTTCTTTGAAAGCTGACTCCCAAAGTAAATGTCACAGAGGAAATCCTCACTGGGGTTGGCAGAGTGTTTCTGCAGCCTGCTGTCAATAGAGCATTTCACTGTGGGAGGGAAGAGAGGAAGTACTGAGCAAACAAAAGCAATGCTTATAGGCCTCGGAAGTTGCAATGTTCCTCCGTTTCAGAAATTCCTTGCTCACAGAAAACTAGGTGTCGAGGACAATCGTTGAATAGTTTTCTATGTGCAGGCTTTTATTGTATTGTATTATAGAGAATGTTATTTACTGAAGTTATCACCCTGGGCCAGCAGGGGGATACTGTAGATAGTTAGGCAAATAAGGGGTCAAAAGTGACGTTCAGTGATTGGATAGTTTTAGAAAGTTGTTACAGTAACGTTGTACTGGAGCTCTATATAAGCAGGCTGACTGAACCCTTCAGTTCAGTTCTGTCTTGGCCTGTGAATAAACAAGAGCTGTTTGAAGAATCGCTGTGTCGTCTGATATGTTCACCCACAACTTAACAGAGAGGATCATTCAAACATGCTAGCCACTGCCTAAAGTTTTAAATACTGCACCTCCCACTCTGTTTGCAAAAGGGAGCAAGGGGAAGAATTTTAGATATGGGAAAACCAGATTCAAATCTCTGGTTTGATCTTAGGCAGGCTACTCTCTCATAGCTTAACCAACCTCACAGGGTCGTTGTGAGGCTACAGAAATGCTACCCTGAGCTCCTTCAGAGGAAGCTTGCGGCATACACTTATGAAATGCCTGAAGAACAGAGAGCCAGCTGTTTGAGAGAAGAGAGCCAAGCAATCTGAAGTTGCTTTACGCACTGGTCTATTCTACCAGAGCTTTTGAGTCTTCCGTGGTGAACTCGAGCGACCCAATTAGCTAGGGGTGGGCAGAAGATAGGGCTGGGAGGATCTCAGGCTCCCAACTATGGGAGCAACAAAAGGATGCCCTTCTCCCCATCCTAAGTGATACCACCAAAATAAGGAGTGATTTTGTGTGTGGAAGGACTGTGAGGTCTACTCAGTTCTAGTACTGAAAAAACACAAATTCCTGGGCTCGGCATTCATTACTTTGAGTATATTTCTTTTGCACCTGGCTCCAATTGGTAGATCGCATGGTTCTTGCAAAGAAGAAATTAGATCCCTCAAGCCTGATATCTCCCCATAACCAATTTCAGTTTCATATTTTATAGTGGCATAAATAACAAGAAGCTAAACAGCCACTCTGGCAAGCCAGGTTTTTTTTTTTTGGGGGGGGGGGTTAGGAGGGAATGCACTAAAGTCAGACCAGGGACACCTGGCTTTAATTATTGGTTCAGCCATGGAGCTTAATGGGGAAGCTTGGGCAAATGACTATATTTTAGTCTGACCAACCTCACAGGGTTGTTGTGAAAAATAACATGCGCTAACTCCAGGTATGCTGCCATGTGCTCCACAGAGGAGAATTCAAATGTATATCGAGAGTAACTGATAAATTAACTTTCAGGTCAAGTGCAGTACAGTTGCTAAATTGTAAGATGCAAAGCTTATTTCACAAGATACTGCCACTGCCACAAGGTGTGTTCAGCTACCTGTCTTAAAGATATTGTCCCACGCCTTTGTGTGAGCCTGCCAAACTTTAGTATTCAGGCTTTTGTGGAGCTCAACGGGGGTCACCATCATCTTCCCAAATGTACTCATCATCTGCAAAATGGCAATGAAGAGATGAACTGCATTATTAAAATGAAATAAAATGTGCACTAAAACAAAGAAGAGCAGGAATCAAACCGGTGATTGCAGCAGAGAAGTCAACGGCTTTGAAAGAGGATGTGACCAGTTCATGGACAAGGCTAGCAATGCCTACTAGTCATGGTACTGGATGGTCTGCCTTCACTGTTGGAGATAGTATGCCTCGGAATACCAATCGCTTGGAATTGCAAGTGAGGAGAGCACACCCAGGTCCTGCTTTAAGCGTTTCCTAGGCATCTGGTTAAGAGCCCTGCTGAAATAGCCTGGAAGACCATCTGGTCCAGCTTCCTGTTCTTGGTGGCCAGCCAGATGTCCACAGGAAGCCTAAAAGCTGGACCCCTGAGTGCAACAGCACTCTCCCACTTGCAATTCCCAGCAGCCAGCATTCAGAGACATTTACAGTGGCACCTCGGGTTAAGTACTTAATTCGTTCTGGAGGTCCGTTCTTAACCTGAAACTGTTCTTAACCTGAAGCACCACTTTAGCTAATGGGGCCTCCTGCTGCTGCTGTGCCGCCGGAGCACGATTTCTGTTCTCATCCTGAAGCAAAGTTCTTAACCCGAGGTACTATTACTGGGTTAGCAGAGTCTATAACCTGAAGCGTATGTCACCCGAGGTACCACTGTACTGCCTCCAACAGAGGAGGCAGAACACAGCCATCCTACTGAGCCCCAAGTGCTATTTCTGTGCAATGCATAAAAGGGCTGGGTCAATAGAATTCCTGCAGCTCCCGAGCACCTTTGCTCACGCTCCTTCTAGATATAAAAGACCCTTTACTCAATCGTGCATTCCCAAAAATTACTTAAGAAAACCACTATTTTCTAGAGACTGTCACATCTACGATGTCAGTGGTAGAGCACGTTTTGCATGCACAGTTCCCATAAAAGACTTCCATCCGAAACCCTGGAGATCTGCTTTCAGTCGGTCTATACCAGCATCCCCCAACCTGGTGCCCTCCAGATGTTGATGGAGCAAGACTGAGCTCCTTACCTGACCTCCACTTGGCTGAGTTTCCGCAGCATACCAGAAAGGGGAAGAGCATGGCGACATGCAAATGCGCTGACAGGAGTGCTGGATTGGCTCCACCAGCGCATTTGCATCCCACCGACCTGGTGATAGTTGAAGTACAAAGGACACTAGATTGGGAGAGGGCTAGCACAGACTATTCAGAGTTATGTGTACCACCGCTACATCAGGCAACTTCCTACATTGCTGTCCATCAAATGGCTAAAATGTTCAGCGTGTCATTTTTTCATACCGTTTTTACAGCCTTGATAAAGTTCAGGCCTTCATCTCCAGTGTCCTGCTGCAGGAGCCCAAATCTCTTCCCGTACAGTACCAGACAAATACCTATCATAGAAAAGAAAGCCGTAAGGATCAATGCACTGCCATCAGGGCATCTTATAGCAGAAGCAAAAGAAAAAAGAGCCTCACAAATCCTCATCTGAAGATAACTTATATCCTTATATATAACTGAAGAAGGGGTGCGAAGGGAAAGCCCATAGCAACGAGAGGTATAGACAAGCAAATTGCACATACAAAGTTCATTTTGTTTGGGGATGAGGAACAAAGAGTTAAGCCACACTCTGCACTATGGTTTGTTTCAGATGCAATGCCAAATCATCATTTGACATTACACACCCAGCCAGAACTCAAGCTCATGTGCTCTTCCTTCCTCCAATATAGAGTGATTCTTTCCCTAGTCTGCCGTGAACACTAGGGGGGAAATCAAATGAACCTGCTCATGTGTTCAACATGACTAGGGTAGCAGTGTGGGAATGTTCAGGAAGGCAAGAGAGGATATATTGTTTATTAATATCCTTCCTAACTTGCATTAGCAAGTTCCTTTACTTAGCAGAGTACATTCCCCTTTACACAACTCAGCAGATAGCTGGTTGCAGGCTTGTGTAGGCTTCTCACTATCATACAATTCAGTATTGAATTGTATGTTCCTGGTAAGTTCCCTTCTTATCCCTCTTAAAAGAATAAAGATGCCACACTCTTATTTAAAGTAACAAAAAAAAGTTTACTTATGTGAGGCAGAGCACAGTGTGATCCCTGAAGGCAGGCTTTAGGTTTAAAGCAGGCATAGGCAAACTTGGCCCTCCAGATGTTTTGAGACTACAATTCCCATCATCCCGGACCACTGGTCCTGTTAGCTAGGGATGATGGGAGTTGTAGTCCCAAAACATCTGGAGGGCCAAGTTTGCCTATGCCTGGGCTTAAAGGGCTTAAAGTTACAAATATGCACATTTGGATCTACCCCATATGGGGAGGGGGGGATAACTGCAGTTCACATGACGAAAGGAAGATGGAAAAGAGGAAGAGTGGCAGCATGCCTTGTCCTTTTGTTACCCGGACAGGTAAGGTCATGCCCACCTCTAGTCACATGCAAAAGGAAGTATGTCCCAGTCAGGAGGAAACAGGAAGTTTTTGGCTGACTGGACCAAACATTCCCCCACATGTCCACTCTAGGAAAACAATGAATATTGTACTTGACTGCTACTTATGCATCACATCCCATAAGCAGGAATGCACCTACCAGCCATGCCCCCTGCCCTGCCCATCCCAGCAGCCGCCTGTTTTACAGCAGTAGCGTGATTGCCTGGGGGGGGGGGTCCTATTTGCATGGAAGAAGACTGCATGCATACACCTGAGTTGGATGTGGATTGGCGTGGAGGGTGGGGTGGAGAGAAAACAACAACCCCAGGCTGGGAAGTAGAAGGGAAACTTACTTTCAAATGACCATTTGTTCAGTTCTGAATACAAATCTTCTATTTCTCCATTCTTGTTACAAAGTGTGTCTATCCGATGCATAAAATCATCTAGAACCTAAAAAGGGAATTAAATGTGGAATATTGGTGAAAAGCAAAATATGCACAGGTCATTATTTTGACAAACACTCTTTTGCAATACACATATGTGCACGCGCACACACACACACGTTCCATAGTCCAGGAATGTGTTATTTCCCGCCCCCTTCTAAGCTGAAAATAAAGCCCCACAGATAAGACTTATAAAAACTCCATTTTGTTAGTACTGCAAGGTTTGTAGACCACTCTGAGAATTCTTTGTTCTTGTATCACTAGTCAACTCACTAGCTCCACCGCATGTCTGTAAAGGTTGATGTACATCAGCTGCTATTGGAGAATATCTCACAGCAGTGGGCAAATGATTAATGCATCTTTGTTGTGATTTGTTTGCAAAAGCAGTAAAGATGCTTCCAAGTGTAACGTCTCAACTAACTCATGTTAACTTGTTTCATAATATTGGTAACACAGCAAAAAGAAGAAAAGAAACAAAGGAAGCCACATATAGGTAGAGGGAAGTCACGATTTATGTCTGTATGTTTGTTTTCTTTTTTTTTGTAATTTAAGTTGAAAGGTGTATGTATGTATGTATAATAAGTTTGTTTAGTGTTCTGGTTTGTGTTTGTAAGTATTGCATGTATCAATAAAAGTTTTTTAAAAATTAACTTGTTTCTGCCCGGGGTGGGCAAATAAACTGGGATTTAATGAGTCCTGCAAAATCATAGGTGCACATCTACAGAGAAAAGGGGGATTTCTCTGGCAGCCTCCAAATTGGAGTCAGTGGGTGATATTCAACTAAGTATTAATCAGAGTAGACCCAAGGAAATTAATAAACATGGCTATGGTAGGTTCACTAATTTCAATAGGTAAAACTTAGTTGAATATTGCCCAGTCAGTTCAGTGCTGCTCCCATCATGAGCACCAACAACTTCAGTTGCCATGTGCTGGGAAAAAAATCAAGTGAGACTGAAAGGGTCCAATGAACACTGGATTCTATAGACTGGCAAACAAAATCTCATTACTTGGCAACCAACATTTGTCTGATTACCTGAATCCATTCACAGCCAATACCAAAGGCAGAGATGGATGCATAACTTGTGGAGCTGATTGACTGCAGAGCCATGCATTCATCAAAATCAAGTGTATAGTCCTTCCTGGACTCAACCATTGGAACTGAAAGTGGGGGATTGCATTTTGCACACATTACTCCATATAAAAGCTCACCCTGAATATAGAAACTTGGCACATCAGGGAGAAAGTTCTAATATAGCCCTCTATTTGATATACTAGGTTTTTACATGCAGGGATTTATGTGTGTGAAAGAATTGAGATTTTTGCAGGGATTGTTTCTTAACTCCCTCTTCTAAATGAGTCCATTCACAAACAAGGTAGCTCAAAATATTCAATTACATCTGTGCCTGGATCAGACCCAAACTGATTTCATGATGCTTTACAGTTTAATCCTATGCATATCTATGCAGAAGTAAGCCTTACAGTGTTTAGTGGCTATTGAATTAAAGCCTTAACAACTTAGGAGACAAAAGCATAAGTCCTTATGAATACCTCATTGATTTTGGTGTCCAGCTTCATAATTTCTGTGGGCTTCATTAATTTCTTCTGAAATGCACTTCTTACTCGCTGCCAGTCTTTTCCTTCTCTGTGCGAATGAAAAAGAGAAAAGTTAAAAGAGATCCTCATTCACTCATGTCTACTATACTAGATTCCAGACACGCTGCAAATGCTGACATTTTCTACTTAAGTTAGCACTGTGTGTAGATTAATGTGAAATGTCAGAAAATGCTGATGGCTGAAATCTAAAAGCAGTATATTAGCTGGATGTGCCTTGAGCAAATACTAGGTTTGAGCAATTTACAGATAAATGCTAAAATATGCCAAGGAAGGTTAGAAAATGAATCTGACAGTGTAAAAAATGGCCTTATGCTTAAAAGCATCACTTCCTGGGTAGTTTTCAAAAGTGACACTCAAAATCAGTTTTACAGAATGTTCCCCACATTCTCTATTCCCCTTCTGATTTGAAAGATGGTGGCATTAGCAAGATAGTGCATTGTATCTCAAAGTGCTTCAGCTGCCATACCTATTTTTTTTCTCCCATAATTTTTTCTGCTGAGGGGAAACATATTAAAGCAGAAAAAATAACACAGACTCTTCTCCCAGTCCCAGAGCTGTGACCAGACTGGTTGATTTTCCTAAAGCTTACTATTATTATTATTATTATTATTATTAAGCATTTTGGAGAGGAGTCAGGGATCTCCCAGAATAACATGCAGCTTGATGCTGACAGTGCACCAGATTGTACACAGAAGATGCTCCGAAATGGCTTATGCTGAGCTATTTTCACAATATGAATGTAAAACCTCCATAGGCCAGAATGGGCATTTAGTTTCTGTGGACAACCTTCTATTTAACAACATTCACACATGGCACAAATAGCTGAGGAGAGGTGCAGAAGTTTTTGTGTGTGTGTGTTTTTTTTTTTAATCAAACGCAAAAAACAAATTAAGCAAATTAAAGCAGTTGCTTGATTCGGTCTCCGTGCCAAGCCACTAGAATCATAGGAAGTTTTGTGATGCTTAGTGATTTCAGCAGGATGCTGTGAGTGCCTTCCTTCATTGCCCAGTGGCTCTGCCTCCAGCTATGCATGCCACTCACTACCCTAACTCCTAACTTAATCCTAACTCACAGGATAAGCAGACCATAGCCCTCTTTACGGTAGTCCCGGTAGGCTTTCCAAGGCTTGATCTCAAGGCGCTGTGGGTAGGCACTCTCTTTTCTGTAGAGGGCCTCGAGCAAGCAGGGCGCACCGATGTGAACCGAATCGAAAGCACCGAGTTTCATGCGGAAGATCTTGCCAAACTTGCGGTGGTAATCGGCCTGCAACCAAAGGGAGAAGGAAAGGGAGGATAAAGAGGAGAGCCACTGTGGATCCTAGTTGCACATAAAAGTGTGCGCTTACAGAGATTCACCCCAGGTGACAATGCGAGTAGAAGATAAAGCACCTGCAAGCCAGCATCACTCCCCTCTAGAATAAGGTTACCAGATTTTTTTCAATGAATCCGGGGACACTTTTCAACTTCAATGGATTTTGTATGGGGACTGATTTGTAAATCCGGGGACTGTCCCCGGGAAACAGGGACGTCTGGTAACCTTACTCTAGAACAGTAACTGGTCCCAAGCCACATGTTTTGTATCCACAGTCTATCCATCAAGGGACTCTTCCAGATTACAGCTATTTTCAGGCAGGATTCAATCACACCCTGGCAACTTCAAGTCTGGTGCAACCAATCAGTTTCCCCCAAAGGATAAGGAAGGGGATGTGCGACTGCACTGGAAATTGTGGGGGAACACAATTTCACTTAATATATTTCACACACACACACACACACACACACACACACACAATGCAAGCAAATAATAATGAATGCTCAACAAGCAGGTAGTCTGGAAGCACCCTAGGTCAAGACTTCCCAGCTATGCCACTGGAGACCCAGGTTTTTACTCGAGGTGCCCAGGACTTCCCCTGTGGCTTCCCCTGTTGGAGTTATGGGGCTGCCTTGGGCTGTTTTAGGGGCTGTGCCAAAAGGATTTCGAACGCAAGGAAACCCCCAGGTGGTTTGTGCCATAGGACCTGTAAAGCTTGGTGGTGGAGGCTCACAGAAGTTACTCACCAGCGTCTCGTGCTGTCTCTTGAGGCCCCCTTTCCAGAGGATGTCCAAGAGGCTGCCCATCAGAGGCCACTTGGTGGGGCCAGGCAGCGCGGAAAGCGCGTGGGGCGCCTGCCTGGGGCAGACGGGCATCTCCTCCTTGGGCTGCAAGGCGCACACCGACGAGGTGGGCAGCAGCTGCTGCTGCTGCGGAGGGGCGGGCGCGCTGCCAGGGCCTCGCCGCTTCACGAGGGAGCCGAGCAGCGGGGCGCGCTTTAAGGGGGCGCTCATGATGCCCGGAATGGTCCGAGGGAGGGAGCCCGAAGGAATCGAGCTCGCCGCACGTGGATCGAGGCTCACACGACCACGTCGGGGTCTCTCTCTCCAGCGGAGGGATCTAACCCGACCTCCGGCGCTCGGTGAGATCTGGCCACAGGCTGGATCTAACTTGAAAAGCCGTGCTCAAAAGGAAGCCGGTAAAACTTCGGGGGCGCAGCTTGGCGGGATCCGGATGCAGCAAGTTGAATTTAAATGCAGGTGGGGAGGAAAAAAGAGAGGCGGGCTCCTAGCCCGACGGGGTAGCAGCACTAGGAGGGTCGTGCAGGAAAGTGCCGACCCCGCTAACAGCCGCGCGCTTTAAGCCACAGGATCGCGCTGCGCAACGATGCGGGGATCTGCGCAGAAGCCGAGTCTCCCCGGGCGCAACCTAGCCTCGGGGGAGGACTTCGCGATCGGCCGTCGGGGCTGTGGTTGCGGCGGGCTGTTTGTTCTCAAGAGATCTAACTCCTTCCAGGCAAGAGGAAAAAACTAGAGAGACAGACAAAGAAAGAACCACTAAACGCGAGGGGATACTGTATTGCGCGCCGGCTCCAGGTGTTAGAAGGTCCCATCGACGGGTGGGAGCGCGGCTTTTATAAACCTCTGGGGCCGGACGCCGGACTCTCCTCCGGGGCCAATGGGAAGGGAGGGGAGGAGAGCAGGGCGCGGGGAGGGGCCGGCCCTCGGGGGAAGCCGCGGCGGGGCTGGCGAGTTGCGAGGAGGATCAGGTGACTTTCCAGGCGAAATCCCGACCCACCCGCTCTCGCCTCCCTCCCGTGCGGTGGATGCAGGACGAAGGCAGCCGGGGAAGCCTCTCCGCGAGGCTAAAACGGCTCGGGATGCCCTCGGCGAGATCCTTGTCTTTCGGCACCTTCCCCACCCCCCACTATCCCGGCCTTCTTGCCCAGAGTTTTCCCTTCCTTTTGACTGAGCCTCCGATCTTTGCGCCAACAACTGAAACTACCGTGCGCTACTAGGACTGTCCTAGGCTCAGGAGTAAGTCCCATTGAGTTCAGTCGGACTTACTCTCAGGTAAGTAGGCGTAGGATTGCACCGTCAGTTCCAGAGCCAGGTAGAAATTGGGAGGCGAGGTTGTGCTCGTGGCGCGCCAGCTTAAAAAAAAAAGCAAAAAAGGCGAAAGAGGAGTCCGAATGGAGTTTGCACATATCACGGAGTAACCTGTGGCGTCGCATCGCGCACCGATTTCATTCTATAAGAAAGTACGCGCCGCGGAGTTTGCACCATTGTGATTGGGACAGCGGCGCTGGGCGGGATAGGTTTAAAATTCCCTAAACGAAACCCCCTCTCCCCCAGTTGCTGTTAGCGCTCAGTGGGGTGGGGGGTATATGATATTGGTGCGTGGTCTCAAGGACTCAGGCCCAATCCTGTAAATTTTTACACAGAAGTATGTCTCGCTGGTTTCAATGGAATTTACTTTCTGGTAATCGACCATCAGATTGTTTTATCCTAGACTGAAACCCTATGCACTCTTACCTGGACGTCTAGTAAATATACATGAAGCCCCTGTCCAGATATAAGTTTAGACCACAGTGAACCCCTCTCCCCTTTTCAGTGTGCTGGATTTGGCTCATATCCCATGCCTGAAATTTACTTTTTTAAAAGCTATCCGCGCTCACGTCCAGATAACATGAATGGCATCCCATCTAGGTTATTCCTAGTGCCTGAGATTTGTCTTCAGTAGTGAATCCCTCTCTGCCACAGTGTTGAGGCAGGTGCAGAGGTGAGATGAATTTAAAAAAAGGCCCACAGCTTAGTCATATTCATTAACAGTTTGCACATGGCAATTGGCATTTGTTTGTTACTTCAATTTGCATATTGTTTGTTATTAAAGTTTAGTGGATCATCACACGCTTCCGAGTTGGCGGTGGGGGAGAGAGATTTATAGTTTATAGGCAGCAGACCAGTTCTTTTCTTCCACGCCAGGGGCTGTCTCCTTGCTGAAATGCTGGAATAAATATAAAGAAGGCTGAATGAGAATGTAGTTGTTACATCAGGAAGTACGGGACTGGCCTGAGGCAGAAGTTTCCTGCTAAGATGCACGCCACTCCCCGTTTTCATAAGCTGTTTTTGAAGTTTCTGGAATGGAAAAGGAGATTTGATTCCAGCCCTGTGGTTGTGATGTAACCCACAGGCGAGGAAGTCAAGACATCTGCTACTCCCTTCGTTAAGTACTTAATCATTGCCTCCTATTTTGTTTTTTGTAAAGGTCACAATAAACGTTTCAGACATAACAGCCATTCCTTGTCCATCTTCAGATCCTTCCCATGTGCAAGACAAACACATGTTCAATTTCTAGCAAAAAGGGGGGGGCAGGTTGGTTGATGAACTTTAGAGCACCCAGAACAAGATGGTTTTGCAGGATCAGAGATGATTGCTTGAAAAATCTTGGCCACTCTCCACTCCCTGATGCCGCTAGACACATAAATAAATACTGTACATTTCAAAACATGCAGGTGGGGTTGGCCTCATTTCCAGGCATATTTAGTAGTCCTATTAATTTCATATATGTGTGCTCTCAGGTGAATGTGTATTGGACTACAGCCATAATTATCCCCCCCAGTCATTTTCAAAAAGGTCAGATTGGTAGGCACATAGCTTTGTAAAATCTACAAACAAAGGAATGCAATTAGCAAATCCAGAAATAGTTATCGGTGCAGCATATTTGCATTTTACTTTAATGAATATGCGATAGATTGGTATCCTTATAGGGCCATATTGTTATATCATCAGTAGGACGTGGATGACGCTGTAGTCTTAAACCACTAAGCCCTTTGGGCTTGCTGATTGGAAGGTCAGCAGTTTGAATCCACATGACGGGGTGAGCTCCCATTGCCCTGTCCCAGCTCCTGCTGACCTAGCAGTTCAAAAGCACACTAGTGCAAATAGATAAATAGGTACCACTGTGGCGGGAAGGTAAACGGTGTTTCCATGTGCTCTGGTTTCTGTCACGGTGTTTCATTGCACCAGAAGTGGTTTAGTCATGCTGGCCACATGACCCGGAAAGCTGTCTGTGGACACATGCCGGCTCCCTCGGCCTGAAAGCGAGATGAGCGCCGCAACCCCATAGTCGCCTTTGACTGGACTTAACCGCCCAGGGCTCCTTTACCAATATTGTTATTGTTATTTGAAATCCCATAAAAATAAATTACCGCAATCACCTGTGCTGCAGAAACCAACTAAGTGGCTTTCAAAACCAAGTAAAAAAGGAGAAACTGCCAAATAACTTGGACTTTGCCCAGGACAGAACAAAGTGAACTTCTCTTTGGAGAAACTTCCCTCATGTCACTGTGCTAAGCCACCCACTGAATGTCTGAAGGCAGGGCCATCCACAGCAGTCTCCCAAGAGCTTGCTATGGAAGAAGGCAGTCCTCTCATTGATGGGTAGACATGGACTGATAATGTTTGGAGGGCTGTGGTGAGGGTGGGATATGGCCTCTTTGCAGGACACGTGACAGCAACATTTCCATCACCAGTCCACCAGACTCCCTGGCTTCATTCATATTGCATTGGGATGAATGGAATAATGCATGAATGGAATAAACATTAAAGTGCTGCTTTGTATACTCTGTCTACATCTTCAATTGTCAGCAAGTGAAAGTACCTGTAGGTAACCTCAGAAATACAATATTTTTAAAATTATGTTGAGAGATTTATAAGCCACTTATTCGCAACATGTACGTACAGTGGGACCTCGGGTTACATACACTTCAGGTTACATACACTTCAGGTTACAGACTCCGCTAACCCAGAAATAGTACCTCGGGTTAAGAACTTTGCTTCAGGATGAGAACAGAAATCGTGCTCCAGCGGCGCGGCAGCAGCAGGAGGCCCCATTAGCTAAAGTGGTGCTTCAGGTTAAGAACAGTTTCAGGTTAAGAACGGACCTCTGGAACAAATTAAGTACTTAACCTGAGGAACCACTGTATTACGATTGTAGATTGAGCAACTAAAATCCAGGAAACACTCAAGAAAACCAATGAAACCAATCCTCAAAACACATAAAATTAGTAAAGATTCAAAAAACCAACATAGGTAAGTAAACTGTGTGGGTGAGCAGGAGGGTAGGTTTGCTTTAATTAATTACAGAAATCAAGCACCTAAAACCGCATAGCCAGGACACCTGTATAATGTCTATAGACCATAAGAAGAGCCTGCTGGATCAAGTGAATAGTTCATCTAGTTCAGGATTCTGTCCTCACAGTGGTTAACCAGATGCATGTTCAAGCAGGACATGAACACGATAGCACTCTGCCCACCTGCAATTTGTAGTAACTGGTATTCAGGCACTGGTATTCAACAGCAGAGCTGGAACATAGCCCATATGGATGGTAGCCATTTATGGGCAGCGACTTCCAAGGCAGACTTGGGTTGCTTATTGGAAATTGAAACACTACATTTGGTATGTTGCAGTGTGTAGTCTGATGGATGTAGTGGGATAGACCTGGCCCTTTAGCCTTCGAGTCAAGAATATTTCCCTATATTTCTCAATTTAAAGCAACTTGGGGTGTGTGAAGGGAGGCACTCCAATTTTAATTGCAGCTGGTTCCTTGATCAAGCTCACTTCCCTGAATTTGCTGCTAGAATTTGCTCTTGGGGAGGGTGGAGAATAATAGCACAGGTTATTTTCTGCTGAAGTTTTGGTGGCAGATTTGTGAGTGTTCACATGTGGATACATTTCTGTGTGATTTAGATGGGGAAAGAGCACAGGGGACAGAATTTTAACACCCAACACTGCAGATCAAATCAGAATTTGACTCCTCTGCAATTGCCTTTCCTGAAAATGGAAAATATGATCCCAGATCTCCTGTGCCCATGCCTGTTTTCACCCATAAACAGGATGGCAATACAAATAAATGCCAGACTAAACCAGCAGACAAAAACATGCCCTAAAATATGAAGGGTACATTTGAGATCTACTTTGGTCTCTGTCACTCTCTCAAGTCAAGCAGGATGTTGGCCTTACATGAAGGAGCTATTCCTCCCTTTTGAATCAGCTAGGCTTTTGTGTCTGTGTGTGGTGAGGCAAGAAATAACACAGCAATGCTTTCTTTATGCAAACCAAAGTTATTTTTATTTGGAGAGGCACTGAAAGAATCCTCTATCCATTTGCAGCATGAAAAGGCAAACCACTAGTATTTGAAACCTGTAGAGATTTCCATCAAAACTATAACTAATTAAAGATCGGTATCATCATCTCACTGGGTAACTGCAATTTCGCTAGTAATTAAACAAGGCTATCCTGCTTGCTGAACAGAGCTGCGATGCTAGCTATAACCTTTTACTGAAAAGCATGTTCCAACATTGCCTTGAGATCTTGAAACAACCAGGGCCTCTCACATCACTAACTGATTTTGCATCTGCATTATTAACTTGCTTGTACTGAACTGAGAATTGGCACAGGTTCACGTTGGGGCAGATTTGTTTTGAGTTTTGAGAGCAGGGATGGGAAAACTCAGGTCTGTTTATCTCGCCCACAGACCATGCCTCTCTCATCAGGCCACAGTCCTCGCTGCTGCTGCTGCTGCTGCCTGGATAGATTGTGTCCTTGTAATGCCTCTTACCTGCCTGGACGGAGTGTGCGTCTAGAAACCTCTGGCTTTGGCAGATAAAACGTTGCTCCAATATTTGGAACAGCCTGCAATATCTGCAATATGGGAAATCTGCCACCCTACCCCAGTTAACGTAAGAAGAGCTGGCTGGAACAGGCAGGCATCCTGATCTCGCAGTGGACACCCAGATGCCTGTGGGAAACTCGTAAGCAGAACCTGAGCACAAAAGCTCTCTCCCCTCCTGGGTTTTCCCAGCAGCTGCCATTCAGAAGCATTAATGCCTCGGACTCTGGAGGCAGAGAATACCCTGCCCCATGACTTGGTCCCATCCTCTTTTAAAGCCATCCAAATTGCTGGCCATCCCTGGCTCCCGTGGGAGAGAGTTCCATAGCTTAACTATGCTCAGTGTGGAGAGGTAGTTACTTTTACCTGTCTCGAAGCATCCAAAATTCCACTTCAATGGATGTCTATGAGTTCTAGTGTTATTATGAAAGAGGGAGGGGGGAAAGCTTTGCTCTGTCTGCTTTATCCATGCCATGTACAGTGGTACCTCGGGTTAAGAACTTAATTTGTTCTTGAGGTCCGTTCTTAACCTGAAACTGTTCTTAACCTGAGGTACCACTTTAGCTAATGGGGCCTCCTGCTGCCACCGCGCCGCTGGAGCACAATTTCTGATCTTATCCTGAAGCAAAGTTCTTAACCCGAGGTACTATTTCTGGGTTAGTGGAGTCTGTAACCTGAAGGGTCTGTAACCCGAGGTACCACTGTATAATTTTATAAACTTCTAGCATGTCGCCAGAGGTGGATTTAGGGGAGCATGACTGGTTTGGTCAGCCATGCTTTGGGATTCACATTCCCTTGAATTTTGCAATGTAGTCCTTCAGACAAGTCATGTGTACAAAGATGCATATGTTCGCATAAAGTGTACATTAAAATGCAATTATGTATGTATTCATGTGTTTATTTATTTTATTATAATTAATACCCTCCTTTTGCCCTAAGGTCTCAGCGTGGGTTACACCAATTAAAGCAGAATATTAAAAGCAATTTAAAAGAACTTAGTAAAAACAACCAACAGAGATGCATTACGTTAGGGGAAAATTGCTCTGCACCTTCAGCAAAATTGCATACGGACAGGTTATATAGTAGGAGGGATTTGCACAAAAATGCTGATGAATTTTCATGAGGGACTTGTTTAAAATAATAATTGCAGGCTGGTGTGGGAATGCAAAGATCTGAACTTCAAAATGGAACGATGGATGAGAAGCCAAAATGGGCAGATCCTCTTATCTCTCAGCAAAGTCTTGCTTCTGATTCTCCCACTGAATAACTACATGGTAGGTTTTCTGAAAGCACACAGGGGGAGGCTGAAGTCCTGAAAGTCACTGGGGTGGAGCAAAGCCTAGCCCTGATCAGGGACCCTGTTCCTCTAAGTGTCCTTGTGGGGAAAGGTAGGCTTCTCTCATTCCCCTCTGCAGACAGTTCTGAATTTTCAGCCTTTATTTTCCTCCTTTGACAGCTATCTTCATACACAGATGGCAGTGGCAGCTGTCCTACATAGTATTAGGCTCAAAGGCCTGCATTGGAGCTATGATGGCTGTCCTGGTATTTTCAAAAAGTAAATCCAAAGCTTTGGGACCATCCAGCTTCACTTCAAACCACTTTGGGAAGAGCCACTTCATAAGAAGATAGCTTTGAAGGTGACCCGGAAACTACAACTAATCCAGAATGCGGCAGCTAGACTGGTGACTGGGAGCGGCCGCCAAGACCACATAACACCAGTCTTGAAAGACCTACATTGGCTCCCAGTACGTTTCCAGGCACAATTCAAAGTGCTGGTGCTGACCTTTAAAGCCCTAAACGGCCTCGGTCCAGTATACCTGAAGGAGCATCTCCACCTCCATCGTTCTGCCCAGACATTGAGGTCCAGCACGGAGGGCCTTCTGGTGGTTCCCTCGCTGTGAGGAGCCAAGTTACAGGGAACCAGGCAGAGGGCTTTCTTG